AATATAAAATTTTTTGAACAAATTATTCACTTAAATGTTTTGAGCATTTTTGCTTCTCTTGTTTATATATTTTCAAAACAAACTTTTCTCCTAGGATACAAAGTTAAGTTTAAACTCCTCCCCTGTATGAATTATGAAACATTCCAAAATTACAGCTAAATTGGAGAGGCATTATTTTAGTTTTAAAGGTAAAATCTAAATATCAGAAGAACTAAACTTTGTAAAGGTCTCAGCAGGTTATCACAATGAAGCTTGATATAATTTAATTGTGATATAGAGAGGCTCTGTGTATTTTACTGTGTTTTTAAATGCCATGACATACCTCAAGATGATATTTTCTATGCTATTATTTTTTCTTGTTCTTTCATTAACGATTGTCCAGTCTGTGGGCCAAAGTGGTTAATTTAAACAATCTTTTTATAAATAGATGAATAACCACTTTGTTTTATGGTACTTAATTGTGGGACTTTTTCAAGATTCCCCTGATGGCAGATTTCCAGTTGCTTCAAGACTGGATGAAGTGCATTGGGTTCATTGTTCTCCCAATATGACCCTTCCTAAATCAGGATTCTTAACAATTAAGTTGTATCTGAATGAGGGAGGTAACACTTGTCATTCTCTCCTCTTACCAGAGTGATACTAACACCTTTTAAAATTATAACCTGATTTTTAGTTGTTGGGGCCAATAGGAAAATGGCTGATTTGAGCTTTATTCATAGAAATGAAGTAGTGCTTGCATGTGTATACTCTAATGCACTTTAGTCTATGATCTAAATGTTCTTTTATGCTGTTATCTGTTGCATGCAAATTTTACACACATCAGCATGAATGTCAGCAAAGTCCACTGAATGCAGTGCCACCAGCACTTGTAATTGCCTTTCCAGAAATAATGCTTTCTCATAATTGTTTATAACAAGCATCAAACAATCCCTATAACACAGCTATCAAGTTCACCAAACTAGATAGAGCATCTGTTCTATCATTTTAGCATCATAAAAGAAGAACATTTAAGACATGTTTGTAAATTGTAAATAATAACTCCAGTTATCATATCACATATAAGACTTTAGAGACCAATTATTTTCTA